GCAATATTATTCCGTGCATGTGTTAAAAACCTTATTTCCATTTGATTCATTGGATTACTCGCGTGAATGTTTAGCACGTTAATGCTTTCGTTTTTAAAACCGTCCGACCTCCACTACAAAACCATCAACCAGTTGCATAGGATTAAAAAATGTCAACACTCACTCACCCCGTCTTAAACATTCCCAAGGAAGTGCCTCTGTCTCTCGTTGTGCTGGATGAAGTCACTGGCGACGAGTAAACCCAAAATAGTCCCAAACAGGCGCAGAGGCATTTTTCTTTTTTACTAGTTGTCCGAGTTCGGGGCCGGCTAATGCTGCCGCCATCTTGCTCAGCTCAGCTCTGTGCTGAGCTCTGAGAGCGGGAAAGACGGACTGCCCTCCCCTGCCCTCTGCTGGCGCGTGCTGTGCATTACAACCAATGTCGTTCCTATCAAAACTCTGTGTCAGTGTAGTAGAATGAAACGCATCTGTGATTTGGCGCACAGTCTGTGACGTCACGGTATTGAAAATCATACCGACAGTATTTCGAAATACCCTGGTATACCGTAATACCGTCCAAGCCTAGTCTCAGATATATAAAAAACATGCCTATGATGTGTTTTGCTCAAAATACCAAACGGATCTTGCCTTTTAGACATCCCTCATATCCCTCTATTTCAGCCCTCTTAGAGAATGGCTGATTCTGTGACTGATGCTGCTGGCCCCGCCCCCTTTTGAGCACATAGGCAAGGCAAGCAGTGAGTTCAACGATTATTTCTGAAACAGTATGGAGCTCAAATGCTTTTTTTCCTTGCAGGTTTACAACAAGGCGAGTTCCTTTTTCTATTTCCTGCTTTTTTACACATACTCTCTCCAGTACAGGTTAGCTCTGAGTGTTAGCGATGCTTCCTAATGTAAACAAAGACCGTCCAAAACGCATTGTTTCTGATAGAGACTTTTCTGATAGGACTGTGGGCGTAAAGCCAGCCCACATTTCCGATATTACGTCATATCGGACGCAAATCTGGATCAGCTCCATTGTACCCCCATTTTTAGAGATTTGGGTACGGAGGAAAAGAGAGAGGGTTTTATTTTCTGACACTTTGTGAGTTCCCTGACACACAAGGGACACATATTTATGTATAGAAGACATCAAAAAGTGCATTTTGCATGACAGGACATCTTTAACCTTTTACTGCAGGGCAAGATAAGAAAACGCAAATCATGACATTCTGAAAGGGCAAACGTCCTCACCATTGACAGTAAGCTTGGCCCTGTTGGAGTAGTTGGAGCCAAAGTGATTGGAGACCACGCACTGGTAGCGGCCCTCGTCAGTGAAGTTGGCATTGAGCAGGTGGAGCACGGCGGTGTAGATCAGCTCTCCCTCCTGGTACCGGGCGTAGTTTTGCACCTCTGCGTCATACAGCACCTCCCCATCCTTCCGCCAAGCCGTGGTCATCGGTGAATCGCTGCTGCTGGACGCCACGCAGCTCAGAGTCACGTTGTTCCCCCGCAGCGCCTCATACGTCTCGGGATGAGTTGTGATCCGGGGCTTTGGGAAATCATCTGTGGAGGAGCAAGGACAGCAAGTGTGAAACTCTGCTTTTTTAAATAGAAAATCCTTTTTACAGAACACTGCTTAAATAAAATGTAAGATTGTAGTTGATGTTCAAATTAAATGTTCCAATACAGAACAGGGAAAATGGTTGTCAGAATTTGTGTCATTTAGGACCAAAAAACGTTGCCATAGTTTTACGGACCGATTACAGAGGAAATTAAGATTCTGAACACAACTTCTACAGTGAAATAATTGTAAAATATAAAAGAGATACTCAATATCCTTTCCTAGCTTACAATGACAAATATTTTCCAGTGTGTTGAAGAGTAATCATATTGTATCAAACTAGGTTAAGTTTTGGAAAAAAAGAAAGAAAAGAGAAGAGGAACTGACCACAAACAAACTCTTGCGGGCCGACAGACAGGACGTTGTGAGCGAGTAGGCTGGCAGGATGAGCGCAGACGGCAGACACAGACTGGAGGAAGCTGTTCTCAGTCAGCCACGGCCCCAGCCACTGCATGTGGCAGTCACACAGCAGGCTGCTGGTGTTCAGGACGCTGAGGACGGAAACAAATGGAGGAAGCGTAAGAGGAGGCATTGTAAAATGAGTTTGAATCACCAAACTTCAGTAGAGAAAATTATAAAAAGGATTGAATAATTAAAATAAAATGGAATTTGGGATTACCAGGTTTGTGATATTTTCTGAAAGTGGTTAATAATGTACTTATTAGAAGTAGCACATTTGTAAAACCTTGCTTGTAATGAAGCTTACATTAATTAATAACATTTTATTTTAAAGTATTATCAAAATGGCTATTTTTAAATAATGTATTTATTCAAACAAGAACCATACATACAAATACATTAATCTCAGAAAAGAGAATAGAAGATTTATTATATTATCTACTTTGACAACATATTTAGTGCTGCTTGAATGACAGTGAGAATGCAAGAATAGTAATATTTCAGTTATTCCAAATATCATGAGACAGAGCTCTGAAGACCCTGAAATGTTGCGTTATTCAACCTAACTGTTCTTAGGTCATTTCTCTAGCAGTTCAAATACAAACCGAACACAAATCCACTAAGCAACCAAAAAAAACTAAAACAAGCAATGATACACAAGTTATTCAATTATCTTAAAGCGACCTCATTTTGGACCCAGTCAGCATGAGACAAAAAAAAAATCCAAGGAATAGTTATTAACAGGTTAGAAGAGAACCTTTAAAGGATAAACAGGATATGAGAACAGTTGTATTGATACCCAAGTGTAAAAGAAGCATGTTTAAATACTTAAAAGATGAACATGTTAAGTTCCTGAGTCTAAGTTCAACCAAAGCCACTTCATCCAACCTCCAATCAAAAAGTGCTGTATTGTATTGAAGCAGCAGATTAATTCATGCTTTTGTAACATGTATGACTTTGACAGCTACTGGGGCTAAGATAAACTCCTAAAATGGGCTTATAAAAACCTCAAAAAAAGGCAAAAGACTAAAACATGTACACGGCCCAGCTGTCATTATGGAGCAGATGATGATGCTGCATCACAAAAGCTGGATCAAATATCTGTGCTTGTCCAATCAAGTCTGAAATTGTAGGGTTTTACTCAAAGAATAAATAAGACATTAATGACTGTTAAATGACAAATGTATTTAAAGCCAAAAATGTGGTGAAAAGCTCAAAGGTAAAGTAGCTCCAATATATTTATTACTTAAGCTACGAGGTCAACACTTCTTCACACAATTAAATAATGGCAATTAAAATGCTTTATTATGTCTTTTAATTGCAGTCCAACTAATTCATTACAATTCCCTTTTAATGAAAGCAATATTTCTAAATCAGTCCAAGAACAAATAACACAAGGAAGCTGGCCTCCAAATGTGTTTATGAGAGTTGTTTGATTCATTTAGAGTCTACTCACAACTCTTTGAGCTTCATATGGGACATCGCCTCGGGGTGTATCGACATGATGCCGTTCTTGCTCAGGTCCCTGCAGAGCGGACAGAAATATGGATTAGACACAATTTCGATGTGTTTCTATCAAAATGGCATCCCATTTCACAAGCAAAAGTAAGCAACGACAGAATAGTGTGGGAAAATAAAACATTGTGCGCTCCGTTATCATTCGACAATAACTGAGATTAAAACAGTGCTGAGAAACAGGTGTGCCGTTACTTACAGATGTTCCAGCTCATCCAGGCCCTCAAACGCTTTCTTGGTGATTGATTTGATTTTGTTCCGCTGTATTATTCTGAAAAAAGCAAAAATATTTAATGTGATGCTCCTGGGTAATATTTGTTGCATACTGGAACTCCTGTGTAAGCAGTTTTCTTTACGGCTAAATTCAGAAATCAGAATTTCAATGAAAGTTAGATTAAGCTTGAGGAACTATTTCAAAGCACAATAAAACCTGACAAGCACAAACAGATGTTTTTGTGAATGAAGCTTCTCATTATCACCAGGGAACATTAACATCTCTAATCTCTGCAACACTGCCAAATGAAGCTCAGCGCAAGTTCTTTCAGGAAGACTGGTATACAGTCACTCCGCAGCTGCTTATAATCAGCTCATCAAGGGCTTCCTGCAAACACATTACATTCACCTCAATCTCAGCAGCCAATCATCGTGCTGCAGCCAAACTTTAAAATGGTTCTCCTTTCTCTTGCAGTCAGCTGTGATTTCAGGTGTTCATGCTGCCGCCATCCCCGTTTCAGATCCTCGTAGCAGATATCAAGCAAGAGCGAGAGGAGAAGACCTCCATCGGCAGAAACACGGGTACGTCCGGCCGGCCGTCTCGGCATAAGCGAACAAGCTGATCCGGTATCAGAACGGAGTCGAGGCCCCACGATCAGCTAACACGGAAGTCGCATTACGCACAAGCCGACCGCAAGCAGGCCCTCTACACCGCATTCAATCCCTCCCAGGAAATTCAACCAGCAGATAAGTGACGTTTATCTGTGTTCACTGCACGTTTAGGCATGATCGCCTCCGTGTCTCATCAGATTCGTATCTCGGCACCCGTTTATGGGTTGGGGCAGTCCGGATAAAATAATGATATATTTAAAAAATGAATAAATATAAAAGAAAGAAAGAATGCACAGTTTCTCCTTCATACTTTCATGCTTATAACTGGTGGTGGTGCAAACCGTGCTTGCTTTAATGATCATACGATCCCCTCCATCTGGTACTTCAATAGCAAACCTCNTCTTCATACTTTCATGCATATAACTGGTGGTGGTGCAAACCGTGCTTGCTTTAATGATCATACGATCCCCTCATCTGGTACTTCAATAGCAAACCTCAGCTAATGTCTCAGTGCACACTTTTCCGTCAAGCATAGGGAATGGATGCAATATAAACAACTCAGGCTCAATGTAGTCTTGCAGCGTATGTCTCTCACAGCAATGAGTCACTCACTCAGCTCACGTTTTAATCATCTGCAGAATACCTTCATTGCATTATTTATTATTAATCAGCACTTCTCCAG